CCCGTCTCAGTACATTATTTTGTTCCAGCAACCTAGCTCTCGCATTTCAAAGATGAGGCGATTTTTTTTTCTTACCTTTGCTTAAAAAAACTCCCAAACAATTGCTAAAGTCTTATCTAGTGTAAATCTTTACAATATAACATTTCTGGTTCAAAAGTCCTAACAAGGCAACGCAGGCTACTGTTTGCTTCCCAACAGGATCATGTTATGACAACTTAAATATACTCATTAACTACTGAAGTACCAACCAAATTGTTAATAAATGTTAGGAACGTAGACCAGCTGTGCTGGCTCACACCAGAAGTTCTGCCTGGGCCAGTAAGGGCCTGGGCAAGATTATAGTAAAGCCATACTTCCACTTTTCGCACCCTTTTTTCTTGGATTTATGGCTTCATTTCTATAGCCAGAGGTATTATCATTATTTTTAGTAGTCCTCAAGTTTTTGTCTGTCAATTCGCCCCGTTACTCTTTGAAATTGTGCGCTTCTGGCGGCTGCCCTGTCTGCAAGCAGCATGCTCTGTAATTCAACTGCCTATTGTGCAATGCAATACTTCTGTACTCCTTTTGTTTGTTTTCAGTCTGTCCCTTGGCAAGCTCATGTGATGCCAGCTGGATTTTGTATTACGAAAGACCATGACTAATCATGACTGGTCACTTTCTCCATGCCTCTCATGATTTTATTGACTTCTGTCATACGCTCTTCAGTCCAGGCTAAAAAGACTCCTAGTTTACTCCTCATACAAAACATGTTCCCTATCTTCAGTCATCCATGTTATACCTTTGTCAATTCTACCCTTTTCTCTTTGAATGGAAGAAAGGAGAGAAACAGAACACAGTATTATCCAATGTTTTAATGAAGTTTTCCATCTCTACACCTTTCTTATTAATTCTTAACCTAATTTTACAGGTATCGTACTTATCATCCCAGAGCCTGTAACTACCTCTACTGGTTGCTATCAAATAACAAAATCTACACCTGATTCAAGTAGGCCTAACAATGAAAAGTTGTATGTGTGAAATCAGGTACGTTCAAACTGAACGATTCATATGCTGAAGTGATTTGGCAGTTGCCAAAACTTCAGCTTTACTCCCTACAACTTATACAATGAAGTTGTGTCCAAATATGCACAAGCATTATCAATAATACAAACTGTGGGTGTTTGTATTATTTGCTCTTTGTGCAGCACAAAGTAGAATAAATTTAATTAAAGGGAATATTGTATATGAATTTCTGGAGATTAGGTCATTCTCAGGATGGCATTTTTAACAAGTTCCTAAATGGTTGCAGCCAGAAATGTGATTTTTAGCTTGATAGTCACACAACAACAAAAAAGCCAGTAGCACATGGTTTTGATAATTTCCTTTTTGTGCTTTTGTTAAATGGAAGTGCACTCAATTCTTCTGTCGTTCCAAATTGTAGTAAATTACAGTGCTAAATTAGTAATGCACACAGGCTTGACCTTAAAGCATTCAATTAGGCAACTAATGAATCATTCTGTGTCCTCAGTTCAGACAGCATCTTTTGTAGTACTGATAGCTAATTAACTTTCCCCTTTTGCAGTACCTAGCAACTTCACGGACTTGTTTTATAACTGTAAATGTTTCAGTACATTAAATGATTAGGAGAACGGTCTGATGTTAATTTTTCTCTTGAGCCTAACGTTCAAAATATTACAGCCATCTATAAATAAACACAAAATGTCAAACAAAGTTATCAAATATTTGCTTGGGCTTTACCAATCACTCCCCGCTAAACTGTGTTCCACTGAAAAATTGCTGAAAAATTGGACTGAACATATTTAATGAAGTTTTAACATAATACATTACCTACTTTTTAAAAATAAAATATATGGCAATGTTTATGACAATTGATTTTCAAGAGCTGTTCTTTTTTGTAGGTTTTGCACTCTTAAATCTTTTAAATTATGTTAATGTAAATGTTGTTTCCAACCTCTCTTCTTCTCAGTCATAGAATCATGAATTTATATAAGCATTAACGGAAAGGCATAATACATTTGTATATTTCTGGACAAATACGCATATTAGAGTCCTTACTAAATAAGCAATATAGAAATATCCCTAAGAAGATAGGAACTAACCACAGATTAAAGGGATTATCTTTTTTGTCATATTTTCAGACAGTCCTCTAATACAGACACCATTTTTTTCATGGTTTTCTTGATAGGATTTGGTACTTTGTGTAAAAACTTAGGGAGTGAAACAACCCAGCCCCCTGAAGTAAGAGGTAACTTCTGAAAATACTAGCTTTTATCTTACACATTAGAACCATTAGGATTTTTGTTCCTTTATTTCTTTTTTGGCAGAGGAAGGGTGCGAAAGATTGCTCTTCAGTACCTATTTTAAAGTTCTCAGTGCCTGCTGGTTTCCTGTAGGGAGCACCTGGGGATTAGTAGTATAATCCTGTGTAGAAAACCCAACTTTGCGTACGTAGTTTGTAAATGGCTATGGGCTTGATTATGCTTCCAGAGACGGTTTTAGAAGTTCTGCCTGTGCTTTCTTGGAGGCCTTACGTGTTTCCTAACCACTGACAATCATATGCCCACAGGATGACAAATGGGCAGAGGTGATACGGTATTAGGGATATTGTAAAAGGAGATAATTACTTTGTACTTTTCTATCTGCTTTCCAGTTGGTGAGGTTCTGTGCATCACAGATGGAACCATGAACAGTCCTACTCATCGCTGTATTCATCTGCAACCCTTAAACAGGGGTACTTTTTGTATTAACATATGCATACGCATATACTCGGTCATCGACACTGCCTTCATCAGCACTGCCCTTATCCCTGCAGGGCTGTGTGTACCTCTACACCTCATTCTTTCAGTAAAGGAGGAGGAACTGCATTACTGGGAGGCAATTTCCAAAAGTTTTAACTGTTTTTATAGGCATAATATACTTGAAGTCGGTCAAAGAAAAAGGGATGTTTTTACTTGCAAGTTATTGTGCTGAACATAGGCATGTGACTTATCTCAGCCCTCTCAGCATTTCCTCTATTCATGTGACTTCTTAGGCTTTAGGTTACTTGGAAGAAAGGACTCAAAATTTCCAAATTGGCTTTGTTTCAGTGTATAATTAGGAAATGGTGAAGTAAGACAATGTGACTGTAACATATATGAGATGGTTCATATTGTCCTTCAACTAATGTCTAAACCAGCTGGCCTCTCCTCCTATCCTGGGGGGCTGTCTGCTTTATCCAGAGGCATCAAGGCTGGTTTCAAATTAGAGTAGTTGCAGAATCCATTTATAAAACGGGTCACAATTTTTTTTGCGTAAAATATACAAGGAGAAGGATGAGAAATAGCTTTGTGCTTTTTTTTTTTAAAAATAAGGGAAAAATAGCCTCTTTTAACCATCTGAATTGACATGCACTGTAAGTTACGTAGCCCTAAGTGTTTCAGAACTATAAATTAAGCATATTGTTCAGTGTAGAGGCTCCTTTGAAAGATTATAACTGGGAAAATATATTGAATGTTAGACATAAATATATTGTTAGTGTTTGTAGTCCTGTATTTGAGGAAAAGACTAAGAGAATGAGAGCAGAAAAAACTTTTAACTTTCTCCTTACATTCATTACACGTGACTTGTGGTTTTTTTAATCTTCCAAAAACATCATCCCTTGCAGGGCACAAGTTTCAGAATTGTGAAACATTAATCTGTTTTGCATTGGTATTATCGTTGCTTTTTGAAAAAAGCAGAAGATTAAATTGCTACAGTTCTTCAGATGGATTAATGAAGGGGGCTGTATTGCCATAATGATCAAACAACAGAGAAATGCACTGACATCCCATGGATGCAGCTTGTCACCTGTGATCTGCAAGATCCAGTATGATAGAAGAAGAGCCTGAGCATTTATAGAGTATATTTTTTTCTATTTGATTGGAGTGAAAAAGAAAAATGCATAAATGTAATAAGAGTGTCAGACTCTGCTCCCATTAAAGCCAACAGCAAAATTTACCTTGAATTCATGGGAAGTTAATGTAGATCCCAAACCCAGGCTATAATCCATGAACTATATCTTGCCATCAGTGGCCATCTCTAAACTAAAATTCAGATTGGAAGCTAAAATTATATTGCTTGCTGCTGGAGTATTTGAAAAACTGTGTTACAAAACAGAAACACACTGTTTCTCAGTCTGGGAATGAAAGACGATCCCAAAGCCAAGATGACCGCTGAAATTACAAATGTACAGGCCACGGCGTGTTTGTTTTAATGCTCACGCTATTTTAGGCCTTTCATCGGGAAAGTCTCAAGATAAAACATTTATTTTATAAACTCACCTTTTCACCTTAAGCATCTTGACAGTAAATGGGCTGTTCACATGTGCGGGCAGACAGGCTGTAGCTCCTGTAAGAGTTCATCAGAAATAGTTATGTCATGACACAGTTCTTGAAGATGCCATCTCTTTCTGTCCTCTAAGTGCTTTCCTCCTATTAGTGTTAAAATTATAATAGCATCCAAATATTGTAGGTACTTTGTAGACGTTTAAAAAATGGTTCCCCAGTCAGTTTACAGTCTTAAAAAAAAGCAGTAGTATGGAAGAGGGAGGGCATGAACAGAGGGTCTCATTGTCCTTATCCCAGCTGAATGCCTCTAGCTGTTCAATAATAACATCAAACAATTTGCAATACTTCTAACAGAATTTGGACCATCCCAATTTAGTTGTTCTATCGGCTGCTATGTGTGTACCTTCCACGTGATGGTGCTGGCAGCGTATTTTGTGGTGGTGCGCTGTCCGGTGTGTGCAGTGGGCTGTACTGTATTGCATTTCCTTCTTTGCAATGGAAGCGAGCCTTTACTGCGCAGCTGTTCTCATCCTCATTTTAGATATTGGGAAGAAGGAGAGTAAATGCAACAAGAGTAGTCTTCTATACAGTGTCATCTCCAACTATGTGGTTCCTACCTGTAATTATCCACACAACTTCTTTCCAAGTTTGTCCTCCACAGAGCTGCACTGAAAAATGAGCTGGAAATAGAAAAGCACAGAAGTGCTTTGTGCAGCTGAGTAATGGGTTACAGTCAAGGACATTGGGACAAATATTTACAACTGGAGAATTTTCACCTATGCTCTTCTCACTTGTAGCTCAGGTCCTTAGCATGCTGTAAGGGAAAACCCTATCCCAATTTAACCTTTCACTGTTTTGGATAATCGGTTTCCATACTTAATCACCCTGGACAGAAGTATTTCCATCTATTATCTATCATATCAAAATACAGTTTATGATTTATAACTATGGAACATGCCTTTGGCTGCGTATGAAAATATTACTATAATGATAAACTACATAAAGTCATGGACAAAATTTTCACTCATACATGGTGCATTCCATTATCTGTTTAAAGTTTATGGATGATATTTATCTTTCTCTAGATAAACCTGAAAAAATGTCAGAAAATCTCGTATCCGGCAAGACCTCCTTGAAAGGTCCAAAAACCTCAGCAAAGAAACAGAAAGGTGAAAACAAAGCTAAGGAATCCTCAAAAGGAAAACGAACACAGCTTGGTATGTAAGGAACAGCAACAATGAAACAAGCAGTAATCTGGTCTCACGTGACAGCTACCTTAATTGTTTTGGGCCCATGCATTTAAGTAAACGTGAGATAAATTAGAATATGCTATTTTATATAAATAACTGAGAGCGCTACAATTACTGATGATGGTTTTGTAACCAGTATATGGAACATAACAAAGCTACATTGCAATATTTACACTTTGTCTTGGTAGTTTAGATTTAATAGTTTGTGGTGTCATAATAACAGTACTGAATGGGAAATTGGGAGGCTTAATATATATTAAGTGGGGAGATTCATGAAATCTAACAGCCCAAGGAGAGAGCATCAGGCAGAGAGAGGTGCCCCCAGAAGCAGGAGTTCAGGTGCTCAGGATCACACTGTAAAGGTACAATAATAGAACTCGAAAACATACCAAAGTCTCACAATTTAATTTTGCGGTGCATTTTATTGCGTTTTTTCTGAGATGTGCCGAGATACTAGCTCACTTGTGTCATTTACGAAGTGTATGGTTAATGAAGTGTAAGGCTAACGAGCCTTTGCTACAGAGAATTTTTTCCAGTGATCCATGCACATTCTCAGAAAAGGTGGGAATGTACTCTTGCTTGGGTTTTATTTGTTTTGTTTCATGGACTTTTTTTTTCTGCCATGCCAGCCACCTTCCTGAAGTTGCTTTCGCCTTTTAATCACCTTTTCCCTCCCAGCTGATTAATAGCTGTTGTGCTGCAGAGAACATTCTGCGCATCAGCACTGATCTCGTCCTGTCCTGCCTGGCTGGGAGGTTTGCAGACCCTCTCTCAGGAGCTGAAGAAAGCCCGGCTCCTGCAGCACCGGGCCACCCAGTGCCACTGCCAGAGGGGACTAATGTCTGCTCCTACCTACGTACCTGCCAGTTCTGCTACTGCCTGATGTTAGCGAGCCTTGCCCATACCTCCTCTTCACGTGACACAGATTGCACGGTGACGCCCAAGCAGGTGCTATCACGTAGCACTCAGTGCAGTTTTCAACCATGGAAACTGCAGCGCGCACCCCAAGATGACAGATTTCTTCCGGCTTCTCTCTTATGCGGACCACCTGCTCAAAATAAAAACGAGTTTTAAATCTCCGTAGTTTCAAAATATGCTAACATGTCCTTAAGATACAGACCTATTTTAAAAGGCTTCACTCACTTCTTCTGTAAAATCTGAACTGAATAGAAATTTTTTTTTGTTTCCTCTTCACGGTTTAGTTTTAAATATATAGAGAGAGATTTCAAATACTGCCCCAACAAGGAAAGGACTGTGTATTTCTAGTTACTTTGTTAGGCAGAAAAATCACTGATAACATCATGTCATTATATTTCAGGTAAAAAAGATAAAATTGATCTTTCTATGGCTAGTATAGGTAAGTGCTATGATGACTGGGCTTTAAAGTAATAGTTTCTGAATACTTTAAGCATTTTGAAGCTTCAATGTTACTAATGCCAGGAATGAAAAGGAAAGTTTTTTTTATGAATGAGAAAAATTAGAAACTATAAAGAAACGCAGCTATTACAGTAGTGAGAACAGTACCACTCTCTGAGTAGCAGGCGGTGCAGCAAGGAATGCTGAAACAGGTATGGGTTTGTAGAAGATGTTATTATCTTGGGTTGAGAGGAGCTGGGGGTCAGGGGAAATAAAAAGCCTCACAATGGAATTATGGGGTGCAAAATATTTGCATTTAGTAATAGTTAAGCAATTAAACTTGAAATATTTTTATAATTTTTTAATCTTTGATCTTTGTCAAATCATTAATAAATCTGGTGAGAAGATGATTTTAGCATATCACTTGTTCTTTTTAATCACAGACACCAATAGATGTTGATTAACATCTCCTTTGTAGGGGAAAAAAATCTACCATTTAAAGTCACAAGATATCAAGCATTTCTTTTGGCTTATGTGCAAGAAAAGTGCAGTTTTAAGTGCAGCCATAGTTAAGAGCTAAAATATGGAATTATTTGAATTGAAATATATTCTCTTTTCTTAAATACCAAATAGGTTTTAAAATGTTTTTTCACATTTCTGGTTGGATTTTTCTTCTGACGTGATTTGTGCAATTCTTCCTCAGATGTAACTTAAATTGATGTCAATGTAAAATTTATCTACCGTTTACAGGAACAGCCCAAAGGGTTATCTTCCTAACTGGCTTTTAGCAAGACAGCTTTTATTGCTAAAAGCTAAAACAATGTGGCAAACTAGGAATATACAAACTAGGTAATTTTTGAAGAAATCATAAATCACTTGTCTTCCTACATAATCCTATGAGCACACGGGTGGAAGTGAAAATTGCACTCTGATTAGCATCACCGAAATCGCTAAGATGCAATTAATGAAAATGGGCAATAAGTGATCCCTCAGATGGTGAAAGTGTTACTTGATTAAAAAACGGTATTTTCAGTGATCCTGGAGATACTTAGGTTTTGTCAGTAAGACAGAATTTTACCTCCACCCAGTGGCAAATAAGGTAAGAACCGTAGTATCTAAACTACTGCTAGAAACCTGTTGCTAAAAGCAGGAAAATACTACTACTCTATGCAGATGCTGTCTGTGCAGGATTTAAACTGTATGCATGCTATCTCCTTAGCGTAAGACCTGCAAGTGTTCTTTACTTCTCTTAGAGCTTCTTAGTCCTTTGTGAAGTTTGCATAGCACTAAGAGCTGTTGACTGTTACCAACCATACCTGGTATAGTGCAAAGCATCATGCATGTCATTAATTTTAGTGGATGACTATAGCAGAGCGGATGCAGTGGAGGAGCAGCACTGAAAGATTTTAAAGGATAAATGTCAGATTCATCAAACATTATGTATTATGTGATAGGCTTATGCAGAGATTTAGCTTCCTGAATGATAGAAATTAAGGAGGATTTATTGTTTTGTCAGTCCTTGTTGGCTTAGGTTAGAGATGGCTTCTCTAAATGTGCTGCGCCAGCTGGTCAATATCCTCATTTTAGATACATCAACTTCAATTTAAGGCATACACTACGGCAGCTGAGACATAGAGCACAAGTCTGCTAGCATGGCAGTACCGAAAAGGAAGAAAAGAGTCTCTTAGGCAGCAGGATTCAACTAGCTGGGCCTACAGTGATCTTAATCACTTACAGCTCTTATGTAAGCTGGAAGGCAGAACACGCAATGTGGGAAGGACCAGCGTTACGTACATACAGCCGACACGCTTAGCAAGAAGCGCTGCACGTTATCTTCAGATTGAGTGTTTGCAAAGCGCAGTTGATGGGTCACGTAACTGCACCCAGCCTCACTAAAACCCAATGAAAGTGACAGTGCTGGAGCTAGCATAAGAAATAGCTTGTTCTGAACTAATATGAATGAAAACAGAAAATTAATAAAACGGAATGAAAAATGTGTAGAAAACAACAGCTATATATTCTCCAGCAAAGCTGAAAAATATCTGGCTTGAATCCTAGCGACCTTGCTTTAGTCTCACTTGCTTAGTGAGAAATAGACTCAATGCACTCTGAACTCAATGAGAGGAAAAGTCCAAAATCAGAAAAGCATCCTTATTTGGGAGGGTATTGAAGCCTCATCTAGATTAAACATCGGCTTAACATGGCACCGCTCTACAGGGAAGGACTAGGGTATATTTATTCAAGGGCTCTCTTAAATCAGAGCCATGAAGTTGTGTCCTTAATGTATTAAACCCAGTCCATTAATGACTCTTCACTAAAGCTCCTAATCACCTGTTGATCGAGAGGAAAAAAAACCCCCACACTAGGAATATTGTATTCAATCATAGGAAATGTTAGGTAGAGTCTTTTCCAAGATTAACAAAATATAGTATAATTTGTATTCCATGCCTTCCAAATACCAAAAACTAAGCTGAGAGATTCAAAGGCATTCTGCTAGGAAACAGTAAAGGCCCACAGTTATTAAAGTATATGTTTATGTTTAAACAACATTGTGAATTTGTTAATCAAGTGATTTTGCTTTCTTTCATAGGCCACCCAGAAATATTTCCTTTAGTTTTCACTACAAAGACCCAAGAAATTTTTAACTGCCGAGTTGATGAAGACGTCACAGAAGAAAATTGTTTCAAACTTATTAAAAAAGAGGACATCATTCAGGACCTGAAAACAAGAGCTACAATTTCTGATTTCCACCCTATCAAAAAAGTTGTCCTAGTATGTAGCTTATTTCGTTCTCACTTTAAGGCTTCATGCTCTCAGAGTATATATGCTTTTAATGATAAGGTCTGTCCTGGTTTGACTCCGCATAAATACACTAATGCTGCAATATCCAAAGGCTATAGGTCATGGACCGCTGTCAACTCGAAGATTCTCATGGCTCACCATGCACTACTTTTTTCTTTTTTTTTTAATACAAACTTTAGGTTGAAAATATGCTAAAAGTAATGTAAATATTATGAGGTTTGATTCTGTGAACTGGCAGAGCTTCACATATTTTGGCTTCCCCTAATTCATGGCCTATTTATTGAGAATCATTAAACCAGTTTCTTTTCTGTTTAATTCTCTGTATGAAAGTATTAGGGTTTTGTCCCAGACTTATTTTTATTACAAAATAAAATCCATCTGTTCTTTTCAATTAGCACATGAAATTCTCTGTTAAGACCACAAGATTAACCAAAGATACTGTATTTACACTAGTGGTAGCTTTGCCAGTCACAGGCTCATGTCTGTTTTGTAGGTTATTTGCTTTCAGTTTTCCACTGTTTTAATTAAAATAGGAGTATCCAGGGGAAGAACTTTTGGTAGTTTTTGATGCAAAGTTCCAGTATGGACAGAACTTCTACTTTGTTGCTTCTGAGGAAGCCAAGGAAAACCTTCTGAAGGTAAGAAAATCCAAGTATACCACAGCATTGTTCTATCTATGGATATTTCAGAATCTTGTCTCAAACATATACTTCAGGAATGGTATTGTATTCATAAACATCTGATGTGCTTGGCATGCCAGAATGTTTCTCTAAAGGTTAATCTGATCATGGAAAAAAACATGTATCACTAAAAATATCTTTTATACTGAGAAAGACTGAATTAATTGTTTTAATTTTATACTTCAGAGGGCCTGTATAACCCCCATTTTTACGACAAGCATTAATTTCCTCTGACAAGACTCAGGTTTCTAAGACATAAAAATAAAATACTATAATATATTGGGCATCTTCAAAGAAATATTATACTTATTTTTCACAATATATATGTATGTATTCTTCAAATCATACTTCAAAATGTTCTTGAGTTCTAAATAACCCTAGATACATAGAAGATTTCCCCCCATCATAGGAGAAGGTTTATGGGTAGATTATATAATTTTTCAACGAGAGTTTGTCACCCAGCATCAGGAGAAGTAACAATTAATAGAAAAACAAACTGCAGTTCCAGGTAGGAGGGCCTAATGTAGAAAATAACTATAAATTCTTTTTATATAACAGTGATTCGCTTTCAAGACAACAGTCTCTCTTTAGTAGTTAAATATTAAATACGTAATGTTTATTGGAAAATTCTAATGCACAAATGAATGAATGGGACCTAACACAATCGTACCCAGGGGCACAGGATAGCCAGACTTACTGCACTGAGACAAAAGTAAAGAATGTGTGAATAAAGACTGGAAACTGGGTTTCTAGTTCATGCTTACATTTCAGTAACAACTTTTTGAAAAAGTATCATTTCTCACTGTTTGATGTTACAGCCTCCAGAAACTGCAGAAGAAAAAGAAGAAGAAAAAGAAGAGGAAAATAGAGAGGAAACTCTGGAAGTCCATCCTTATAAGCCTCCTGTCCACAAACCCTGGGTTTCTCTTGGCAGCGAAAAGGAAGTTGAAGAAGAATCTGTTAAAGACACTATTACAAAGGTCAGAATCAACAGATGTTAGTCAATCAAATAAATATAAAAACCCCAAAAAACAAGTCAGGAAACTGTAAGTTGCAATCCTAGTTTTGCTTAAGGTCTTTCAAGAAAACAAAAAAAGAAGAGAAATAGCTCAACTTTTACAAAAAACTGAAACTGCTGCAGAAACTTTTTTTTTTCCCCCCAAACAACTCTGTTCTCTTTAATCCTGCAAATAAAGCTTGTGAGACTGCTTTGCACATACCTACTTTTCAAGCTGTAAGTTCAAAAGTCCTGATCATCTTTGGTCATTAGCATCTCTGCCACTTTTTGCTCAATTTACTATCTGGCCAGACTACAAGTTGAGTCGTATTTATATTCTAAGGACCTAGTTCTCTTTCCATGGAGCCCAGTGAACTCTGTTTCATTATATGGATGGCATTTAAGTAGCATGCAACACTTTTAAGGGCTCTCTACCTCAGAATAAATGTTACCAACCACAGGTATTACAAGCTGGCTTTACAGAAGTACGTATTTGATTAACTACACCTACAGATTATACTGAGAAAATTATATGTCCAAAAAGTAGATCCACTCACAGCTGTCACCTAACTTGGGCTGTGTGGGGCATCTCCAACCATTTAACAGTCCATCAGTGATTTTTCCTCAATATCTATATCCCTGTTCAGGGAAGACTGGCGAAGTTTTGATAGTTCTTAGCAACTGGACATCTTGCTTATGCTTAAAAACATGTCTGATTGTTCTAAAGCTAATTCACAGTCACTAAATTTAATGCACGTTCACAGTCCAAGTATTCTGTATTCTACCTTGCTGGCAAGGTCCTCTCAGAAGTATTCTCAGCCTACATTCCTTTCCAACTCTGTGGGAGGTGCTGGGAAAAAGTGTCTGGCTATGAATCCAAGACAAAGCAGTATCTCTCTACTGCCTCAAATCAAGTGCCTACCTCTCTTTGTGGGTAGAAGTCAAGGCACATCCCTTCTTACTTCCTAGTTCTCACTATAAGGAAACTCCTCATTCAAATTTTTGTGGATCCTCTTTGGGGTACTTTTCTCTCCCTAGGCACTGCAAGGGAAGCTGGAATAGCTCACCCAAAGTTGAGAATTGCACTAAGAGGGAAGGGCTGAAAAGTTAGGTCTTGGAAGTCCAATTTAGTATTATATAAGACCTCCGGCAAATCAATCCTTTAATTAAAGGTGCAGTTTTGATATTGCATGAATTAGAAAATGTAATTCTCCTATCCTACTAGCAGTAATCCAAAACGTTAACCTAAAGGCAACTTCTTGCTTTAGAAATACAAACCTGTCTTCTATTAGATATGTAGGTTATTTATATGAGCACTTCAGAATTTCAAAACGCAGAAATATAAGTAAAGTCAGCCCAGAAACATCAATAGAACTAATTCTACAATTATATGAACGCTGCTATTTTATTTATTTTACAGAATGAATTTTCTAAAAACTTTCTCCTCTGCTAACTACAGAAATATCTCTTTTCCAGATTAAGTATATGATTTCTCGAGTACGCAGGAAGTTTGGTGCACCAATTACATTTACTGATAAGAATGCTTCACATGTAAAAGACAGTTATGTTGAATGCACGTCCTATCAAGACAAAACTTACAGTATTAAAATGCTTGAAAAAAATGTGGGCATACAAATGGTTCCAAAATTAAGAGAAGCTAGTACTCAGACAAAATGGTAAGTGTGAGAAAATATTTACCAGTTTATTTACTAAGCTACACACTGTTTCAGGTCTCAACTAAAGTCATGTAAATTAACTCAACTCTTAAGTTCCTCAGTTACAAACTGATTAAGAGAACAGAATTGGATGCTCTGTTTGCATCTTTCTTCTTTCACTCTTTTCTAAAGAGTTTCTAGAAAAACAGAATATACTTAGCTTTTAATTTTACACATTACATGGGTTTCTGTCTTTGAAATTGTTTCTACACTTACTCACATTCAAATGTATTCCAATTGGTTAGGACCTATCCAAAAAATGCAGCCACGCAGTATTTTCCTAGACAGTTGTCAAGTGAAGAGAAAGAAGAGAGTCTGTCATCTGAGAAGCTGAAAGAATTTCTTACATCAGTACATTTAAGGTAAAATTGCTGCAGCAATACACATTAAAGGCCACCTGAAATAATATAGAATACAAGCAAGAACTCTTGTCTGAGTGGACCATTAGTCTGGTCAAATACTGATTTTTTTTGTTGTTGTTTCTATGTACTTTTTTGTTTTGTTTCTCTTGCTTATTATTTTAATATTAACAAATATTAATATTTGTTTCTATGAAAATTAACATGCAGTCTGTGCCATATAAATGTGAATGTTGGTTTAAATAGATATTAGAACCATTAGAGTTGATAGTGATACATCTTTTTGAACAAGCTGCAAAGCTGATCTTTCAAACACTGCTCACTCCAACAGAGGCTTACGCAGAAGAGCAAAGGCGCTGTCCTACAGCCCTGAGTCATGGGACAAGTCCCACTTACTGACACTTTTTGCACAAGAATTGGACAATTTCAATGTACTTGATCCACACAGAACTGGAGTTAAATTCTTGGTACAATTAGTTATTTGCATATAAATAGAAGAGGGTTTCCTTACAGTGATGCATCACTGAGGAATGAATACTTTTTTTTTTTGACTCCTGTGGCCATACTTTTGTGTAAAACAAAAGCTGTCTCTTCACAGAAATACTTGTGATTCTACTACTGGGTAGTCACATCTGGATTATTGAAAGTGTTTACTGTTCTTTTCGCAAAACAGAATGGAAATTGCATTGCAGCAAAATGAAATTATGAATGCTTTTTTTGATGACTGGAAGGCCCTAGCAGAAGATGAAAGCAGTTCTGGTGGCAAGCCAGATGTTTATCTTAAAGCATACCAGTCATTTACAGATCTGCGCCATCTCAAGGACAGAACTATAAGCTGGGTTTGCTGGCACCCAACCATTTATGGTAATGCAGTTAAAATACTGGTTTGAGATTTGAATGACATGTATTATATGACAGCTCTAAAATATGCATATCTTTCATAAAATTATCAGCTTTTAAATTTAAAAACAAATCAGAACTGATTTACTATGTCTGTCTGAATTGCTGCTGTGAGCTGAAGTGAAAAATGAGACAGACAAATTCTTGGTAGAGTTCAAAGAGGCCACACAAAGCCCCTCACGCTAATGTAAAAGTGGAGATCATAGGAAAGGGGAATTTCTCCCTTATGAGGCTCATTGAAGTGGGGCTGCAACTGTGCCAGGTCCTTCTGGTGGCTCTGCATAGTGGTGGTGTTCTCCCCACGGCTGGTTCTTGTAGCATGCCTAACTCTTGTGAGGAATTACAGCCACAATGGGACGTGGCTCTGCTGAGTGCCAGGGAGCATCACGAGGCATACTAAATGTCTTCTCCTGCTCCCTGCCGCGGATTATGGCTCTACACAGCCAGGCTTAAAGGCACAATTAAGTTCTATATAAATGTCCTAGCTGCACGGCATACTCACAGCCAACGCTGCAGCCTGTGTAGGAAATTAATTCAGCTACAAAAGATCTGATTTCATGATGGGTGGCCAGGACTATATGCCTGCCACATCATTTCAGGTGCAGTATTACACCATTAAGCCGTAGTAGCAAAAAAGTTGAATTTTATCCTGATGCTTAGGTTCTACGACTCATTGTTAAATAACTTCATTTTAAGCAACAAAAATAATTTCCTCAAAGTTGATCTGCAAAAAGAAAAATATAAATACATGGTTGGGTTGGGGTTTTTTTTTGCCTTTTTTGTACTGTATTCAGAAGGTATAAACATAAGTCACTTAGAATAATTAACAGCATGTTGAAACTTGGAATTGTCTCTTCTGAGAAAATTCATTTTTTCTCTCAATCAGGGATTATAGCAGTGTCAGCAGGAGAGCGGCTTTCTTATGAAGAGCAAGTTAACCTTTCTGACAAATCATTGCTGCAGCAGTCAGTAATACTTTTTTGGAGTTTTTTTGACCCTATCCACCCTCAGGTATTTAATCAGGACTTTTAAATATGCCAAGTGTTTACATAACAATGGAACAAACAATCAGAGTGACTATTTCTCAACTATTTTGTTTCTTCTTTCTAGTTAATGTTGGAGTGTCCTGAAGACATTTACTGCTTTCAGTTCAGTCCAAGTGATCCAAATATCATTGCTGGTGGCTGCATCAATGGACAGGTGTTAATTCTCTGTTTAACAATGAAATTGCATATTTCTGTATTTTCTTACAGTGTAAAAATAAGGGTGAAGAGATGTACTCAACATCCATAATTACACAGTGTCACAAGACAGATGTCACAAAGTCTCAGAAATTCTCTGATCCTGTACTGAACTTATGCCTGGTTATTCCATAGCTGAGCCATTACTGTACGATGCTTCTTTGAGGTACTGATAAATAGATCAAGCTGTAAAGACTCTCCATTTTTTTTTTTGTTGAGAGAAGTGTAGCCTTTCAACTGATTGCATCAGACTGAAGAGGCAATACTTTAAAGACTTCATAAGTTCTAGTGCAGAGAACAAATTTCTTATTTTTCCCCAAACCTCCACTAATTGTTTTTGAAAAAAATGTGTATTAATAATGATGAAATAATTCCTAACATACTAATTTCTCATTGCAGGTTATACTGTGGGATATTTCTCAACATGAAGAAAAGCTGCAAAATGCAAAAACTGTTGCTGATGGAATTGAGATAACAGCTGTTAATATGGTGAATGCTTCCATTCTAAATATGTTGGAGTACATCTACATGCTGTGGGGAAAAATGGGTGAAGGTATCCTGACTCAAAACAGAGGAGTAGATAAACTTTGCAATGAGAGACTAGAAAGGATAAGAAACCTGATAAGTTCATGAAATAAACCCGTTATCACAACTTAATTTCTACCTGATTAGTCCAGCTTAATAGCTTTACTGCATTTTGTGCAGACTTAGGCTTCAGTAAGACTGTTCTTTAATGGGCACCAACACATACTCAACTCTTGCCTTATGAAGCCTATCAAGTACATATAGCATTTGTTGCTGAATGTAATACTGAAAACAATTCTGGAAGTTTATGGACAGAAAAAAAGGTAGCTTGGAAGAAGAAGATTTCAGTGGAAGGAGGCTATAAAGGGGATAAGCATAAGAGAGACCTAAGAGCAGAGGAGGAGCTAGTAACATAGGTGGACGTGCGTGTGCCTGTGGAGGCATGTTGGAATTCTTTCTAGAGCTTCATATCCAAAGGCCTGTTTTGATGCTTTCCATTTTTTCTCCAAAGGGAAGGTATTAGACCCCTAGAAAGTTCTATAAACTGATCTGAAATATGGGAAAAAGCATTAACAGCATGTAAAGTAACTTTTTTTCTTTGACAGGTCTACTATTGTATTTTGGAAATACACTAAGATATCTCTTTTTAAAACATTTCTAGCCATCACTTATGCAAGTCCAGCAGAGTAGCACAGAGCCACCTCTAGTGAGATACTGTGCTGTCTCTTCCATACAGTATAGTCATGAAAAACCAGTAACAGATATACATTGGCTGCCAGATTATTTTGAGGTGAGTTTAAAAATTCACTTTTCTTCTTTTTATTGTTTTCCTAATCTACTACCTCAGAAATCATAGTGCAAACTCAAGACAAAATATTAAAGATTCAATTATTTGTAATAGACTTCATTATTTCTCACTGCAATTTCTAAATATTAAATAATCTGGTGCCACTTGTCCTGTTCATTGTGCTTTACAACTGTGCTGCGTTCTCAATCTGGTATGAAACTGCTCATACTGGAAAAAATGTATGTAGCTTTACTGAAAATTGTAATTCAAAATTGTAATAAGCCTTCCATATCTAAAATATATTGAATTACTACTATAAGCAATCTAGCCTGCCACCAAGAGTTCAGAGAAATAATTTCAATTACCTAAATATCTGAGCACCCAAGAATGGTGTTATTGTAGTTACGTTAATTCATCTAGGTGCTGCCTGTGTACTCAAAACTTACATTTTCTGTGATGTTTTTAAAGCTCCATAGTACCTAAGTTCTACGTAGTTAAAGGGTCCTACACTATTACAGGAGCATTGGATGCTCATTTACTATCAAAGTAATGCAAATGATTGCCCAAATTAATCTGAAATGCAAATGTAGTCAAATGCAAAAGAATGACAGTGGAAAAGCAGGTCAAGAGGAAGAAAACTGAGATCTTTGAAAGGTTTATGCAAATTAATATATCGGTAATTTTTGAAAACAGATTTTTAAGACTTCATAGATACTGCAGTCCTTAGCAACATTGCAAGAAAAGCGAGGAAAAGGATGCACATATATCATAAAAAGAAAGCTGATACAACTGTTCATTAGTAAGTTATGCTACAGTAATACCCATGGATACTAATTGGTACCAGATGTAAAACATGAAGAAAAGAATCGGATAGCAGAGTGCTGTTGTGGTTTGTGTTACTTCGCTGGGGGTTTTTTTGCCAAGGTTTAGGCTCACAAAGCTGTTTTCATGTTCATCTGGGATAACAGATACAGGAAACTCGTGCTTAATAAATTACACTGACAAAGGAATCACTTTGTCAATATTTAGCAACATGTACTGAGACATACTTTTTGTTACATAAACATGGAATGTGTGTCAGCCTTTGCACAGCATTGCAGTTTTTATAGCACAGTTCCTAAAATCAGCAGTTTATTATTATATATCAATGAAAAAGTATTCAAAGTTCTATCCAGAACCTACTTCAGCTTTACGTGATTGTGAGACTACCATTTTGACTCCAGGTAGGCAACTCATGAATGAAAGTAAGAGTAGGATTTGGCCTGAAAAAAAAAGTGTAGCTGAAACTTTGCCGCATGGTTGAGAAGTACGGGTTTAGCCAAAATATATACGGTTTGCATATACTGGAAATTGTATTTGATCAGGGCATAGCCTATAATCACTCGTTTCCCCCCAACACCTCTCCTTTATGTTTCTGAATAAATTAAAATAAATTTGGCATAAAACAATGACTACTTCGTAAATAAGTACTATAAAACCTACAGAGCCCCACATACACAAACTAAACTATTAATAATTAACATTTGAGGGCACCACTACCATCCTGCAGTGTGGTCTAGCTGAGTGACAATTTAAGAGAGATGACCCATGGCATAAACTTGGCAAAGAGATATCACTCCCACTACACTTAACTGTTTGAGATAAATTTCTCAACGATTTGCTCTTTGGTTAAGCTGGATAAAAAAAAGTTACAAACATGGCAACCTACGGGAGGGCCTGACTTGCAGTGGTGCCTGCAAGTATTTATTTATCCTACTGACTTAATTGAGAGTGTTAGGTGTTTAGCAGGTAAAGCTGGTACCAGTTCACTTAAAGTACATTTGTAAAATAGCTTGACTTTATAACTACAAGTTAATAAGTCCTGATTTTCAAACCTTACCCAAGCAGAAACAGTGACTTAATTTCTAGAAGCCCATTTTATGGGTTGAAGTACTTACTTAGTAGAGTGTAATTTTTGTCCCTCATTATCTCCTCCCCCTGTAATTATTACTACTGTTATTTTTAGGACAACCGAATGGGTGCTACTTTTGAAAACAGAGCTGAAACTTGCGTGCAGCTTGTGACCTGCTCCCCTGATGGGTATGTACAATACATACTCTACAAGATGACTTCCAGTTTCCTTTGGAAAGCTTTATGGGGCACACTCCATGCTTTAACTAGCACACTTCTGGATTCCTATCAGCCTATCCTGAATAGCTGAAATTCTGTATGCAGAAGACAAGCACATCAAGTTCTTGGCCAGTTAAGCCCTTTACAGTAATGGCATTAAGTGTTCATTAACTGAAAAACCTCACATGTATAGGTTTATATTCTGTGTATACCTTAAGAAGAGTGTTGATCACACATGCATTGGCCTGGAGAACCACACCCCCACGTTTACGTTGATTATGTGACTTGCACAAAAAGCTGTTAAAGATTTTGAGGCCACAGAAATACTGTGAGCTATATTTAAACTTGGAGACTTAGCTGGCAAAATTATTCAGTATGAATCTCCCCTTTTGTGGACTAAATAGTCATGATAGTTATGACCAAATATTGTCCTGTGTGAAAGACTGGCAAGGGGGCAGAATGCAAAAAGTGGAAATAAATGTTTAGCTTTCATGATGGCAAAAGGCTTAAGGCTTCAAGGCTGCGTGGCTGGGCTCAATCATATATTTGCTATGAAAAGGAGGGTCAGAGAGAACAAAATTTGGTAATGACACAAAATTATTTTCCCTAATCAAATACAGAGAAGACTTCAAAGAATTAAGTCAGAAGAATGATTGCAAATACAATTGCTAATAAGTTTGCAGTGTAATGCAAGTAATGCATGTGGAAGAAATAATTTAAACTGCTCACACACCAGGGCTCCAAATTAAAAGTATTCACCTAAAGTAAGAGCAGGGAAGTCACTGTAATCTCATCCTTGAGGAACACGAGTCCCTGAGCAA